CTCCTCAGAGGGACTGGGTGCCTGCTTGCTGCAAGAGAACCAACCAGTAGCCTACACTGCATGTATCAAGATCACTGAACAGCACCAAGCAAAATTATGCTCAAATAGAAAAAGAAATGACTTGTTAGCTATTGTCTTTGGCACCAGCAAATTAATTTCACCAATACATTTATGGAAAAACATTTATGGAAGAAAGTGACCTCAAACCTCTAGAGGGTTTGTTCAAGAAACCATTGTCTATGGCTAGTAGCGCATTCAGCAAATGATGCTTCGTGCACAACAGTACGACCTGGTAGTCAAGTACAGACCTTGCAATCAATTGCACATTACAGATCCCCTAAGTTGTGCTACTCAGTTGGAGTCTACATCACAGGCAGACAAGTTTGAAGTCCATTTTCTTGTACAACTCGTAAAAGAAAAGTTTAAGCGAGAGACGGACAGTGATCCAGTGTTAACGAAACTGAAGACTGTGATTGTAACAGGCTGGCCTGAGAACAGGTCAGAAGTGGAGCCAGAATTACAAGATTTCTGGAACTTTAGAGATGAACTGTGTATTTGTGATGGACTGTTGATGAAAAGTACTTGATCCATATACAAATGTAGTTTGTGAGATGAAATGCTTAAGAAAATTCATGCCAGTCACTTAGGGATTGAGAAATGTTTCAGCAGGGCAAGAGAGGGTTTGTTCTGGCCTAACATAAGTTAGTCCATTTAAGAGAAAGTTGCCAGTTGTGGGTTATTACTCAAAGTACTTTGAACTGCAACAGCTCAATGACAGCACAAGTGCCTCTGTCATCAACTGTCAGCACATGTCAAGACATGGAATACCGGAAGTTCTCCATTCAGATAATGGTCCTGAATTTAGCAACTTGGAATTTTAACACTTTGCCAAACGAGTCAATTTCAGCATGTTATTTCAGCGAGCCATTGCTCTGAGGAAGTCTTGTTGATGGAATGTACTGTAAAAACAGCCAAGAAGCTTCTTAAAAGCATATGAGGATAAGCATACGAGGATAACAAAGATAACTATTTGGCAATTCTGGAGTTAAGAAATACTCCAATTCCTGGAGTTGGGCTTTCCCCCTCTCAGTTGCTCATGGGACGTTGCACAAGAAGCATCATTCGTATCAAGAATACCTTGCTAAAGCCAATGGCCTACGACCCACGTGAAGTTCAGAGAGTGCTGAAAGAAAAACAGCAAGTTCAGAAGAAGTATTTTGATGGAAGCTACAAGTCCCTTGAACCATCAAAACCTGGAGATAGTATCAGGGTGCGACAGAGAGGAACCTGGGAACCAGCAGTGCTGTTGGGGAAATCTGACAAATGTGAACCAAGATCATATATTGTTGGAGCAAATGACCATCATTACAGACAAAACCGGAGGGATATTCTGAAGACACAAGAAACCCTATTACATGAAGACTTGCCAGTAAAGTAGCTGAGGAAACCAACAGCAGAGACCCTGTTGCAGACCAACTACCTAATGACCCCAGAGACGAGTCTGATAGAGAACTAACATCAGCTACATCCCCAATTATCAGCAGATTCAGTGGTCAAGTCATCCGTGTACCCCTGTGTTACCAAGAATGATTTCATTGTTCTGAATGACATTGAACACTGAGAAGCATTTCTTTACATTATTTTAGTTTGCTCTGTTATGGGAGTGTTCAGCTCACAGTCTTTGCTATATTTGTTATTCAGTTGAGGGCAACAGGGAAAGATGTAATGATCTGTGACTTTGCAGAGTTATATCTTTCTTAGTTTTTGTAGCGTTGGAAATTACTGTCAGACATTGTCCGATCAAAATATTGTAAATGTCCAACTAACATTGCAACATGTTTGGACATAATGTCCATGCACTTAATTGACCTACATGTAGCTCTTGTCTTACCTTTGAAGTCGCCTGTGAACCATAAACCACAAGATATTCTTTTAACTGAATACTACAGGGATGATTTTAAGAAAAATTCCCATGGTAAGACATGTGCAGCATTTTTGCTGGTTTTGGGAANCCCTTGAACCATCAAAACCTGGAGATAGTATCAGGGTGCGACAGAGAGGAACCTGGGAACCAGCAGTGCTGTTGGGGAAATCTGACAAATGTGAACCAAGATCATATATTGTTGGAGCAAATGACCATCATTACAGACAAAACCGGAGGGATATTCTGAAGACACAAGAAACCCTATTACATGAAGACTTGCCAGTAAAGTAGCTGAGGAAACCAACAGCAGAGACCCTGTTGCAGACCAACTACCTAATGACCCCAGAGACGAGTCTGATAGAGAACTAACATCAGCTACATCCCCAATTATCAGCAGATTCAGTGGTCAAGTCATCCGTGTACCCCTGTGTTACCAAGAATGATTTCATTGTTCTGAATGACATTGAACACTGAGAAGCATTTCTTTACATTATTTTAGTTTGCTCTGTTATGGGAGTGTTCAGCTCACAGTCTTTGCTATATTTGTTATTCAGTTGAGGGCAACAGGGAAAGATGTAATGATCTGTGACTTTGCAGAGTTATATCTTTCTTAGTTTTTGTAGCGTTGGAAATTACTGTCAGACATTGTCCGATCAAAATATTGTAAATGTCCAACTAACATTGCAACATGTTTGGACATAATGTCCATGCACTTAATTGACCTACATGTAGCTCTTGTCTTACCTTTGAAGTCGCCTGTGAACCATAAACCACAAGATATTCTTTTAACTGAATACTACAGGGATGATTTTAAGAAAAATTCCCATGGTAAGACATGTGCAGCATTTTTGCTGGTTTTGGGAATATTTTCAATAAAACAAATATCACTGCTTTGGTTCATGAGAAATTCCTTTGTAATGATGTATTTTTAATTACATACACTGTATGAGGCTTGCAGTACACGTAAATTGTCATTTAATAATTATGTACGCCATTTTTTGCTTGTGAGCTGAATTGCCATTTTGAAAACTACCAGTGTCCAGGGAACTTTTTCTTCAGAATAACCAGTGGTGAATTTGTTAATGAGCACGTACACTGTACAATAATGTATGGAACAAATACAAATAAGCATGTTACAGCAAAAGACAGAAAGCATCCCCCGAAACATCAATTAAACTGGAAGAAATGTTCTAATCCAACATTTCATTTTCTCTGAATTATGCCAGCTTCCATCAGAATAAACTCAAATCCAAGCAAAATTTAATGAACTTGCCAGATGGCAGGAAGCGGTCATTTGCGTTCTACTGGTTTATTTAGACTATTTTGCGTCTTTTTCAAAGCTTGAGATTGCAAATTGTGTCTATAGAATCATGAGAATTCAGAGGAAAGATTATTTTGCCAATGTGAAGAACAGGTTCTTGAAAGGGGTTAACCAGAATCATTGCTTGGGTTTTCTTTCCAAGTACTATCGAGAGAATTGAGGCAAACCAGGTTGAAAGCATGACCATATTTACTTGAATTAGCACCGCCCTTGAATAAGCACCACCTTTGGGACAAGAAAGTAACAAGCGCCAACAAGAGCCATGGCTCTTGGCGCCACAGCCCCATTATAATCAAAATCAAAAGACGTTAATTTTGTTAATTAATACGGCAAATTACAGTATCATGGTGAAAACAATTCTTTGTCGTGTCCAACTTTCAAATAAACACCACCCTCGAATAAGCGCCACATTTGAGGCGTGAAAAATTTAATAAATGCCACAGTGCTTATTTGAGTAATTAAGTATGCTAATTAATGATGACCAACCAGTTTTCGAATATGCCCTTTCAAAATGAAGGGTTGAAAGGACACATGTCCTTTCAAGTAAGAAAAAATTATTTCCAGCACTGTCTTGACAAATCACTTTCAAATTTTGAAAAAAGTAAAAAATTGAAGAAAAAAGAGAAAGAAAAATGTGGGAGGGTCTATTTTCTTTAGTTTTTTGTTTTAACTTAACTTAACTTGCCTTGATTTGACAAGAGCCTGTTTTTCATAAATTAATGTGTTCTGTAGATATGTTCCGACTACATTGTATGGTAGGATGTAATGAATACTTCACGCTGTATGCTGCATGGAGAGGCAAAGAGAAAGGACTGGAGGATGCACCAGTCATCAAGTTGAACATAAAAACACAATTACATGTACTTACACAGGTTTGATTCCATTTTCTACCATCCTGATTGTGCGATAAAACATACCCATTAAATGGCTACAAAGGAAAATAAAACACCATGATGACAAGGCTGAAAATTAATAAACTGATTTTATAACTCAATTAATTATAATTATTTGTATGTTCCTTTCATCACTTTTAGTTATTAAAACAATGGGCGCTTAACATTTGTACGGAAAACCCAGAAATTCTGGGGAAAATTCAAATGAAATGGTTCATCCCGGTGGAAATTTTCCGGGAAAAAAGTAATACATTTCGAGGTATTACTGTTTTCCCATTTTTACCGAAATGACTGAAATTGTCTTTTCCATTTGTTTGGATTACTAGTGCCAGGCTTCATGTCGAGAGAAAGTGAAAAATTCACCAGTATTTTGTAAATGGTACAACTCAATCTCGTTCCGGTTTTCAGTGCCAAAAAAAAAAATACCAGTACCAGTACCAAGCGCTCAATAACTAAATCCAAAAAGTGCATGGTTGACCTGACAAGTAATCAACAAGGAGTTTAATAGCAGAGCCTCCATTGCTATTAAAAACAGAAACCTATCAATTCGAGAAAATTTGGTTATGACATCACCATATGACCGACCGACTGCCCGCCCCTATGGACTGGAAGGGAGGGATTAAGTAGATTCTGGAAGGCAGGGGATGGGGAATCCAAGACATGCAGTCCGTGTTTGTCTCGGTGAAATGTTAACCAGTTCACCTTGAGGCAGCCAATAGAGGTTTTCCAGTACAGATACTGAATTTTATTTATACAGTTTTAAGGATGTGCTTTTAGTTTAAGGAATTTACATGTAAATGTTCCTTTCCAGGCCTTTATAAAAGAAAACACAAACTTGGCCCGATTTTTCTTTTAGGTCTTTTGTATTTGGGAGCTTTAGCAATGACAATAACAACAGCAACTAGAACATCAAAAAAGCAATAGGTTTATTAAGAAAAACAACTTTACATTGGTATCACGCATTTTTGTAAATTTTTCGGATCTTGTTTACTGTGGGTAATGTCGACCGAGATATCGGTTGACATAGCGGTCGATATAGCGGTCGATATAGCGGTCGACAGTCGGTCGATGGTCGGTCGATGGTCGGTCGATAGTGAGATAGACTATCGGCCGAGTATCGGTTGATATTTCGACGACGCACCTCCACTTACTATCGGTCATATGTCGGTGATATATCGGTCAACTGTCGGTGGTATATCAGTCAACTGTCGGTGGTATATCGGTGAACTGTCGGTGGTATATCGGTCAACTGTGGTTCGAATATCAGTCGTGTGTTAATTTATCAGGTGAGTCCAATGGCTTTCTTTTTAAGCAAAGACGCCATTAATTACTGTTATCATGCGATGGGGGAACATGTGGCAGTGCGAGGCGCGATTACTCTATGAAGCGAACCGAAGAGCATTGGGAACTAAGGACATGGTAACCGTTTTTCTTTTCCAGTTTGTATCATCACCGATCGTCTGATTTTTAGCTGTTAAACAGAACTTGTCTCAGCGTAAGTTGAATCTGCTGCTCCTGTGGTCCCACAGTCGAAGAATACTTAATAAGGACGAGTGAAATGACTGCTCCCGCAGTCCCGAAGTGGACCAATAATGAGTAGGAAAAGGCAGTTCATGACATGCTTTAAGAGTGAGGAATACACATCTTTTATTATCGGGCTTTGACCTGCTTCATCACGCCAAGTTCTCGTTTGTGCAGAGACCACAAATTAAACTTATATATTTCTGCATTGAAGACGGGAACAGTCCTTTGTTTAACGATCAGTTATTGATAAAACGTGCTGATAACGCACCAAGAAAGGTGCCAAAATATCCAGCAGACTAAACACATTCATTTATTGTGGGTATGATTTCAATTTACAGCAAGGAAAATACTCATATGTTCTCATTACATTATCCTGTCCTTTTGCTCTGTCCTTCGCTTCATATCTATATTGTGTTCAAAATAAAGACGACCATGCGTATACAGAAATTAATATTGAATGGTAAGTCACTTTTGGTCATCCAACAAAAGGAAAACAGTATGCGCCGCGTTAACATTAATATTATCTTAACTTGTTAAGGAAAAACCATTTTTAAAAAAATGAACTGTAAATACATTTTTTCATTAATGTAGTTCTGAGTCGGTTGAAAAATTCTCGGCATAGGAAAAATCAGCCAGATATAGGCCTTACACGGTGGGAATAAATCACATAACAAGAAGCTGAAGGCCTATCATTCTCACTTAGCGGACTTCTTCATGATTCAATTCTAGCTGGCTACGCGTAGCGAGACACCCCCATCCCTAAAAAAAAAACGAGGGGAGGAAACGTCTGCGAAAAGGTGGTGGGTATCGATACAGATAGGCTAAATCCCGTTCACATGAATTAAAAGAAAAGGCTAGATAAATGACTAATGGCTATTATTCCGGAATTTTGGCTAAGTACATTGAAGTTTGAAATTAAAAAAGCAGAAACACAATTTAAAAAAACAGTTAGGTCCAAGCTAGAAAATGCTTTCTAATTTCTTGTTTTACAAGCCAAAAAATGTAGGAAATGCTAAGTGTCGACTGACCATCGACCGGGTGTCGACCAATTACTATCGGTCAAGTATCGACCAACTATCGACCAACTATCGGCGAAGTGTCGGCGAAGTGTCAGTGAACGAAAAGCTATATCGGCCGAGACACAGCTGGAACGACTATCGACTGAGTCTTGACCAAGTGTCGACCCACTACCGACCGCTATATCGACCGAGTGTCAACCGAGTGTCGACCGAGTGTTGACCAAGTATCGACCGACTGTCGACCGACTATTGACCGAGTGTTGACCGCTATATCGACCGATATCTCCCCACAGTAAACAAGATCCAAGTTTTCTTTGGACTATATATGAGATGAAAATGCCTAATTGCACATTTTGTGGAGGGCATAAACTTTTCTTTCTCTTTCTAAAATCTCAACCAGCAGATACAGTTATACCAAAGCTACCTAGTCTTATCAAGATAAAAGTCTAGCCATGAATAGGGCCTTGAAAACAGGGACCAATCTGCCCAATGCTAAGAAACATACAATGACAAACATTCAACAAAATTAATATTATAATTATGTAGTAAGTGCTTCATGGCCGCTTAATAGAGGCGACAACAGAGGGAGAACTCTTGTTAGGACAGTCAAAAGGTGTCTGCGACTGCTTAATAGAGATTTAAGTTAACATTCTTTTCTGCAATTATTTCGAGACTTTGATTTCTGGCAGCTAAACAGAGGGTGGCCACTTAATAGGTGGCCTCTTAATGGAGATTCAACTATATAAACATAACTGTAAAGGCTGTATAATGAAAAAAACAAAAGCATGACAAAGGTGAACTAAAACTGATATTAAGAAATAGGCAACTAACAAACATTTTTGGAGTTCCATCAATGATTGAAAAACACTGCCACTAGGCATACACTGTAGTTCAATATTATACAGTGTGTAGATTAAGAAACATTCTGGTGATGCTTTTTTACCTAGTGATTTCCCCTGCCTCGTTAGTAAGTTGACTTCCATCTGATCGTACAGCGATAAGAAACTGATAAATACTCATGGAAGCATCAATTGCAATCTTTCTTCCTAAAGTGGAATTGAACAAACATACATGTAATGATTACCACAGTAACAAGTTTGGTTTCATTGCACACAATGACAAGAGCCGTGACTTTTGCAGTGATCTTAGCAGGATCTGTTTTTAAAAGTAATAATTATTGTTTGCATGAGCAGCAATCTTGACAATAACCAGCCTGTAAAGAAAGATGTGTCCGATAGCCTGGGGCTAGTGGATTTTGCTATCGGGCTAGCGATTTTCGTTCTTAACTTGCTGGATGGGCAAGTGCTGTTTCTTAAGGAGATTTACATTACAGAAGGATTGTAATCAATCCTGCTAATCAAAAAGGGTTTTGGGACTAACTGAAATAACTTGTGGGCTAGTACATGATAGCTACAGTTCACACGAATGGCAGGCGGTAAAACTGACTTTCTTTGCACCCTGATAACTTAACTTATGATATTTCACCTCAGTGAATCAATAAAGAGACAGGGGATGAAATACATGTAGGTTTGCAGGTCAATGATATCAATAAATTAATCCTTTAGTTGCATATACCTACCCAACCAATGAAAGGTTGAACCTAAGTTTCAACCTACAATCATTATCAAAAGTGTTGGGAAGGTTGCTAATTTTACCTCTTTTTTTCCCTCCTTTCCCTGCCCCCTGCCCCAATGTTGAGCAAAACATTAATGTTTGTGCCCGTAATTATTGTTCGTTTTACATTCCAACATTGAATAGGGGAGACGGGAGATATTTAGCAAAAGAGAAAACTCTCTTTTTTGAGGATTAAAATGGACTACTGTTAAGTAGTACAACCTTCCCAACTACTTTTGTCTGTGATTGTAGTTTGATTCTCTTTTGTTTTTCTCCAAGCCCAGTAATTATTCATGGCCAAAATTAATAAAGAATGGAGCTGAGGATACACTAGGTTAAGACCATAATTTCATTTTCACCAGCAACAGCCACACAGAAACCAACATTATGACGCTTAAATCAATATAATTTTCACCCGGCCTCTTCATTGCCTATCCTCTCCACCGCCCTCAAATTAGCAGTAACAGACCTCCCCCCACCCCCCGAACGGTACCTACATATTTTTTGATATGATGGCCAGTTAGTATGTTAACGACACCCGTTTCTGGAGGTTTTTCACAGTGACAGAGTGATTACTACCAATAATATCACAGGTGATGAATAATACTCCTTAATTTTGGCGCAAAATTTCAGCGTTAATTTGTAATTTCACATGTGAAATTACAAAATTGCCATGGCAACCCCTCCGTATGTCTCAGTGTCAAGATGGCGTCGAAGTTTTAAAATGCCGTGAATGAAGATGTCAGGGCAAAAGAGACGCTTTAGAAAACCTGAACACACAAGAGAACATCAAGAAGGATTCTAACAGGTATTTTGCCGAAAAAGTCTGAAAAATTCTGAACTTTACAAGCCAAATTTAAGGTCTAAACATTTGAGAGAGTAGAGTTCTCGATCGATATGATCCAGGATAAACATGTCAAAAATCCAAGATTGCTAACGTAATTCGTTACCCATGATATTAATAGGTAATCAAATGGTATACTCGTGAAATTAGGGAATAATTTCACTTGCGTTTTGTCCAAATCCTAATAATTTCCCTCGCCTGAAGGCTCGGGAGATTATTAGGATTTGGACAAAACGCGCGTGAAATTTTTCCCTAATTTCACTCGTCACCATTTGATTACACATACATATCAGATAAAAGCATAAAAGGTTGCGGCAACCTCCACATAAGCTTCTGCCTTCATTTGATCGATGATCGTGCCGAACCACGAACAACTACCACTTACCAAAATAGTTCTTGATTTCGTTTTCTTTTGATCCTGAGGGAGCATGATCACCGATCACCTTGGAAAGACCGTGAATTCCCATTATGATAACACATAGAAAGCTTCAAAAGATTCGTAAGTATTTCGATTCTTTTCCCGCTTGCAAAGCGCGCCAAAATGTCGGCTGAACGTGAGAAGACTGGTGGTGAACAAACAATAAACAATAAACTGGAGTTACGTCCAGCGGCAAAACACTTTAGAGAATGCGCCAACGTTAGTGAGACGAAATCCAAAATGGCGGCTAAAATGCGCTTTGCTTGAGGTGCACAATTTATTGAGTTTTTGACTGAGACATATAACCACCTTACGTAAATGGCTGTCAGTAAAAGAGATTTAGAGGAGTTGAAGCCATGGGTGGAAGAAACTGTGAAACGGCGGTTAGGATTTAACGAGAAAAGCGTGGTAAACGCTGCTTTGTATTGCGTTACAAACAACTTGGACAGAAGTTCATCTCGTGAAAAGTTATCTTCACTTTTGGACGATTTAGCTCCACAGTTCGTGAGCGACCTATTCGACAGAGTATCTCAGCTAAAGAGCAGTAAAAGTTCTAGTTCTGGAAAAAGTTCTCAATCGAAAAAAAGAACTCTGGAGGATGTGTTTGGAGAAGATGCAGATGACCGTGGCGACTCATCATACCTGAGGAGCAAACGAAAACAGAGCAGATTTGACGCTCTAAAGGATGATAATGTACCTTTACCACCAGCAATGCCTGAATCAATAGAAAGAGCTACTCCTCTGAGTAGCAATCAAATCAGTGAAATGGTAGCAAGTATGAAGAAACAAATAGAGGAAAGAAAGAAACAGTTGACCGTTATAAGGCAGGCTCAGCCAGCTGCTGTTCCTGTAGCTCCATCAGTACCAAAAGTTTCTGCACAGGTAAATATTTGTAACAATAGGGTTTTTCGGCATTCTGCTCCGGTGAACAAACATAAAGAAATGATGTCGTTGAACAGTTTCATACAAATCACTGTATCTTCACGCGAGCCTCGAGTTGGCGCCTTGTTTATATGAATGCTGGAAAAGTTTATTTTAGAATAATTGGTCACTTGTTGGAGGGCTTTAAAGAACTGAGCATAAACACAGCAGTTTCTTTTGGTTTTCTGCAAGGTGCAAATAAGTGGCCAGGTATTCTGTAATCTAGGCAAATATTCTTCATCACAGTAATCAAAGCTCTATTGTGAATCAGTATTAAGCACATTCTCAGAGACCCAGTAGCATTCTATTGGTTTGAGTGGATTTAAAAGTACAGAGAAAATTGGCACATTGAATATTTACAGAATTGGGTTGAAGAGGCAGTTGGTGCTTTCTCCTATCAATGTACGTGTAAATGGTGAACAGCATCACCTGAGTTACCTTCATGTTTCTTACATGAAAATTCTGGTCTTGCCTTGCAGTATGTGTTTGGATAATTTTACCCATGTTATTATTTGTAAAGTAAACTAGACCTTCACACAGTTGTGTGGATTAGCATAAAAAGGAAATTTGAAACGGGATTGGAACCCATGTTCCCTCGCTTGAATCAATCAAAAGCAAGTTTGATAACATGTGTGAGCTGTTTACCTGATTTGAGAGCTTCCTGGCAAGTCATCTGCTTGGTTCTTTGATAGTCATAATATTCTGTCCTTTATATCTGACATTCCCCATTCATTAAGAATCCACATCCTGTTTGAAAACAATCATTTGCTTGAAAAATTGATCAGTTTGTAGATATAGCACTGAGTAAAATTCCCATGTTTGTGTTTGTTTTGCAGCCTCTTCCAAGTTTATTACAACAGCAGGAGTTGATGAATGAAGCAATAGAAAAAGCTAAAAGGGCAGCTGAACTACAAGCAAGGATTCAAGCTCAGCTGGCAAATAAACCTAACCTGGTAAGAACAGTGCTACATTTGATTAATTATTACATTATGTTACAAAGCTGTCAATCAGTGCTAGGAGCCAGGAATTTCTCCTGATTTCTATGAGCATGTCCTCTAGCTACTTTCATCAGCAACCAAAAGAAAATACTGCTTTACAAAATTCCTAGCTGTTCAATTCCCCACCTGAAAATTTCTTTTTTCCGCAACTTGGAACCTTCACAAAAGACATAATAATACATGTAGCATTGAAATGACTGACAATCAAAATGAAATGAAATAGATGGCAATCCATGCAGGTTATGGAAGCAGTTTTTCATGTCCTTGTTATTACACATTTTTTATATTTCATTTTGTCCTCTCAGCTTTAGTCAAAGAGTAAACTTAATGCTACCACAAGGCTCCACAAACTTACTAATCTATTAATATGCATATCACTAATGGCAACAAGTTTATATGTTAGTCTTTGTTTGTTGTGGGCAAAGTACATGTATACAGTGCATAAATGTAGTTTTTAAACCAGTTGTTTTACTACATGATGTCCAGGTTTGGGATACTTGTAATAATTTTTTTTGCAAACCTCTTGGTTAATATTGTTTTGATTTTTTCAATGTACTTGTGCTAAATTTTGTTATAAACCTTCAGTTTTCCAGCACAGGACTCACAAGTGCTGGCACAAACCTGATTAAGTCAGGTTTGATTTCTGTGTCTGCCATTAAAGAAGACGACTCTCATCCAAAAGCCCTGATCTTGGATCAGTCCGGGCGAACAGTTGATGCTGCTGGGAGAGCCATTCAGCTGACCAGCCGCATGCCAACACTGAAGGCAAACATCCGTGCAAAGAAAGCTGAGAAGTTCAAGATTGAAAAGCCAACAGAAGATTTAAATGAAAGCAAATATTTTGATCCTAGAGTGGGGTAAGTGGAGCTTCCAGATTTACCTTTCATGTTTTAAGAAGGAAAATGTGACCAGTTAAACTGTTTATGTTGTGTATTTTCATATATAGTACTTATTTTTGAGTCTGTGGTGTATTTTGGAAGAAGGAGATTTGTAACACCTACATGTACTGTACATTGTAGGTTGATTCTCAAGCTCGTTTGTCTCCTAGCCCTAATTCATGAACAGTTGGGTTAGGAAACAAAGAAAATTGAACAGATTCTTGCTATGTACACTTTTAGTTACATATAATAACTTCAAGTTTCTGCTCTATATTTCCAAAAGGTCTAAGCATCTTGGGTTAAGGATTTTTTTTTCTTTACTGAGGTACTGTGTAGTGCATATTAATCATATTTTTGTAAACATGTACGTTTACTCACAGATTACATTTAAATGAAGCGATGATCGTTGCAGTGGTAATTGCGATTAATGCAATTGCAAATTAACCCCAAAAACTTTCGGGACTTTATTGGGATTTCAACCCATGGCCTCTGGGTTAGTGTGGCAGTGCTCTGCCAACTGAGCTATGAAGACCTATACATTGAGAGCAGGCCAATTTGTTGAGTTCATCTTAACTGGTGAAAGGAATGAAACATAGGATGAAGATGATGTGAACTGTGGAAATACAAATTTTAGAATGAAGATATGATTGTTGCAGTGGTAATTGCAATTTAAGCAATTGCAAATTTACCCGAACATCAATGGGATTCAAACCCATGGCCTTTTTCTTTGGTTAGTTTGCAATTGCTTCAATTGCAATTACTGCTGCAATGATCATATCTTTATTTAAAAATTTGTATTTCCACAGTTCACATTATCTTCATTCTCTAGATTACATTTACTTATATGGGTGGACGGAGTGCATGGAAAAGAGCCCTTAACGACACTTAATCTTTTTTTAAATTTTCTTTTGTAAAACAAAAATCTAGTAGTTTGTGACAAGTCATTTAAGGCTTTTTTGGATACATGTACCTGTACATTTACGTGGTATTGATGGCTTGGCTACAGCATGTACTTAATTTTAATCCATATTTTTGCTAGGATAAAACAAGCGCAACGAAGCAAGCGAGGATTTAAGTTCCATGAAAAGGGAAAATTTCAACAAATGGCTCAAAGGATCAGAGCTAAGGTATGGTGTCCATATACAGTATTGTCTCAATAGCAATTCAACAACATTTCCATTTATTGTAGTAATTAATTGTCAATTTTTGATGATATGATAATTTTTATTACAAAATCAAACATTCAGTTTTTGTCCTATATGAAATGCATTATTTAAATAGTCAGATCAAGTTGTGTGAAGCAACTTCTGTAATCTCACATACATTTTGTTTCCAGCCAAATCTGATTTCTACTGTTAAAGAAGTACTTTTAATATTTTATCTAAAGTTTCAAAATGCAAAATCCTGTTTTTTTATTTGCTGGTATCCTTGCTAATTATCAGGTCGTAGAAAAAACTAACATACATGTACATTTACTTTGATAAAAAAACAAAACAGTGGCAACTTTTTCAAGATTGAGATTGAAGTAGATATAATGCATTAATGCGATCTAAGAAGAAACAGAAGCAGCCACAAAAATATGGTATGAAGAGATTGAGGGTGAGAGTTAAAAATTTAGTTGTCTCTGTGTGACAAACAAAAATGGTTGTATAGACTTGATGGTAGAGTAGTATGGAAAATAGGCTTGTACTAAAACAATAAGAATGCTCATTCTTGTTTCCTAAGACTCAAATTCATGTACAGCTGTAGTCAACTCGGGCCTACATGTACTTGGCTTGTTCAGTATGGACTCATAGAAAGCTTAAACTCACAGTGTAATTGTAAGCAAACATTAAGAAGGACAAGAGTCGTTTTATGCTGATAGATACTTGATAAAAATCACCCAAAAATGCCAAATGCCCATAAAAAATGAGCAAAAATACTAGCAAATTTGTAAAAAAAAATTAAGAAGGCGTGTTACCAACATTGATACCAGTAACTTGATGATGTGACTGGCCATAGAAGTCTTAAGTTCACCTTCTCATTGCTAATAATATTTAATACCTTTGCATTTTAGACCCAGTTAGATAAGCTTCAAAAAGAGATCGCAGCAGCCGCAAAGAAAACAGGCATTTCATCAGCAACTAAACTTGCACTGATCACACCAAAAGAAGCTCAAGAAGATTTTGTTCCAGACATTGAATGGTGGGATGCAAATATCCTGCCCAGTGGGAAATACATGAATAACTTACAGACTGACAGCATAGAGGCCTATATCAGTGGAGTGACAGCATTGGTTGAACATCCCGTACAGAAACATCCGCCTGGTAATTACATTAATTTATATGACTCGCTGGTCTTTTTTTTAGTGTAGACTGACACCAACTTTCTAATATTGTAGTACAATGGAAAAAAAATTCTTTTTGCCTTCATTCTAAACTGTGACAAAACCTTAAGTTAAAATACAATTAAAAATTACTATTAGCAAATCAAGACTTTAATTTTGTGCAGCCTACCTACACTTGATACAGGTCTATTTCTGAAATTATTTTTTGTGGAGCAGAAAACTCTGCAAATTTCCTCCCTTTCTTGATAAATGTACATCTACTTTTTATTTTGTAAACTTACACTGTGATGGTTAAACACCCCAGTCTGTCCTGTAATTTTAAATTTTCTTTGTTTTCTTATGTGTTTTCTCCTTACATGAAGCTGAACCCAAAGAGGCGCCTTCAGTTCCTATAATGTTAACAAAGAAAGAAAGAAAAAAGATTCGCACTCAGCGACGGAGAGAGATAGAAAAGGAGAAGCAGGAAAAAATCAGGCTTGGTCTTGAGCCACCACCACCACCCAAAGGTGAGAGAAAGCTTCCCTCACTGCTTCAGATTACTGTCAGTGTTATGTACATTGTAGAAATCAGAAACAGTGGCAGCATACTGGAGAGAGCGTTTGCCTCCCACCAATGTCCACCAAGTTCAAGTCCCGGTGTTGATGCCTTATGTGGATGTTGATTGTCTTCTCTGCTGCAAGAATTTTGTCTGCGAGTTTCCCTAAAAAAACCAGCATTTCCAAATTATAGCTCCACCTGGATAGTGTCTTCAAACAGTTGGGGATACTTCAAGAGCAATACATGTGGGTTTATCACTTCTTGAAACCTTTCAATAAAGTTAGTGTGGTGGATGAACTGCAGTAAGCTCTCTGTCCAAACTGAAACCATCAACCAGCTTAGCCTTTGAAAAAAAAATGGTCTTCTTCTTATCACAACATAGCGTGCGAGGCTGCTAATCACAGTATTCTTTTTTTTTGTTTTTTTTTGTTTTTTAGTTAAAATCTCCAATTTGATGAGAGTACTGGGAAATGAAGCGGTGCAAGACCCAACCAAAGTAGAAGCTCATGTGAGGGCACAAATGGCACAAAGACAAAAGTAAGTGATATGTGAGAAGACTGCAGGTAAATATTGGACAAAACGGTTGACAGAAGAAGGGGTCAATCATGAGCAATAACTTCTTGCTGAATGTCATGGATAATATTGAAATGCGTGCAAAATTCAGTTGCTAAATTCCTGCTTGGTTTTATTATATGATTGCACAAGTGGAAAACAACGTCCTTGAGCCGTTTGAGTGGTGGTCGATGCATCCACTCTTAGGAGAGAAATTGGCCCATGGCAAACCTTCCCCTGTAATTGGCTGTCTACAATGGAATCGAATAGTAACATTGCTTGACTAAGCATATGCATGTAAGGTGTCTAGGTGTCTAGGTTTTGTCATCATCGTCCACCAAAACCCAGAAAATAATTGCTTAGGTGACATTGAGCTCACGCTTGCCACACACGTTAAACATTACTGACGTCTGAAGGCGTTTATTACTTAACATTTTCGGGGGGGTCTATTTTACAGGGCTCATGAAGCTGCTAATGCTGCCAGAAAACTAACTCCTGAAGCTCGTCGTGAGAAGACAATCCGTAAACTGAAGGAGGACACTTCCCTTGGTGTACATGTAGCAGTGTTCAGAGTAAAAGAACTAAAAAACCCTCAGAAAAAATATAAAGTGGATATCAATGCACAGCAGCTTTACTTAACAGGTATGCGCTGTTAGTTTAGTGTAACGAATTTCAGACATGCCAGTAATAACCATCCCCACCTCTATCTTCTATCAACATCGCGGTTTTTCAAGTGGTAAAGTTTTGTTTCTTATAATGGGAACAATCAAGGTTTTTTTGAGGGCGGAGTCTGGTTGTTTTTAATACGTCTACATGTAGAAATGTCCGAACACTATATTCAGTTTTTTTGTGTGTGTGTTTATTTGACTTCTTCTTCTTCACATCAGTGTACAAAACACACAAACTTATTTCTTGAGAATTAAAAGAATGAGTAATTACTTTCCTCACGCAGGAGCTCGAAGGAAATAATTATTCTACACCCCGGATGTACCATAGGATTTACCCTCCTTATTCGTTTTGAAAAGTGAGAGCGGACAGCGCAATGAGTTGCGCTCTCAGAAATGACAAAAGCAGACCATCACTTTGCGGACAGTTTATCGCTGGACCTCACGAAAGCACTGCCCCTTGATCCGGTACTCTTTTTATGAATTAATTTTTAACTTGAAATGCCTTTTTCTCGTAAAGGTTGTGCTGTTCTATACAAAGATGTTAATATTGTGGTAGTGGAAGGAGGCCCAAAGTCAGTCAAGAAATTCAAGCGTTTAATGCTGCATCGGATCAAATGGGAAGATGAAAAAGATTCTGATGATGATGACGAGGAGGATGAGGCTGCTGCCAGCAAAAAGACAGCGCCATGTGTGTTAGTTTGGGAGGTAAATGAAAATTAAAATGGGTGCAATTTTGACACCACTGATCAGTTTTCTTCTATCTCTTAAAGACTTCTTTTGCAATGTTGTAGCAACTGGACAAGAAATTCGATTTGTACAGAAAATTATACATCCGACTTGCCATAAATCTTCTATGAAACCCCCCCTTCTCAAATAAGCTTCCTCCCTCTATAAACCCCCCTTTTCTGGTTAAGAAAGTTTATTTGACCCCATCTCTTTAAGAAAAGTTCATTTAGCGGAAACGGATGTTTTTAAAATTAAAACTCATGCTGTTGTTGTTTTGCTACATATATGTCGTATTAATTTCTTACTATAACTATGTACTGTCGTTATGCCGGTCAAGACTGTTAATCTGCGCTTTGCACTGCCTCAAACAATGAGCCTAGCTTTCATCTTCACAGCATAAAGTGTGTTCAAGCACAAAAGTCAGCGTTTTTTTTTTTTTATTCCTTCGTCTTTTAATCTGGATGGACCTTGTGATTGTTGATAATAGCCAAAAAGGACGTTCTTTAATTCCACAGGGCACCAACCAAGAAAGGAACTTTAGCGACTGGAAATTTAAATTGTGTCCAATGCAATCGATTGCAAGAGAACATCTCAAGAAATACGGAGTAGAACACTATTGGGATCTGGCTCTTAGCGAATCACTGCTTGAAAATGCTGATGATTGATAAAGTCACAAGCTTGTTACATCTGGGAGTCAAGAGCCACGCATCAGTGAAACTGTAGCGTGATCGATGATAGAAATGGTCGTACATATATGGGCTCGATTTTTGCCGCTTACTGGAGTCCTGCCTTCATTTCTCCCAAAGGACCAAGTGTACGTTATTTAGACGCGGTAGTCTTCTTCAATACTGCAGCAAGACTGCTGAATTTCAAATCCGCGCTTTCCGGTACACTTGTTTGCTAGCAAGATTTTATGGAAAGTTGTGTTTCTAATTATAATAAATCATTTTAGGCTGCGTTACTCTGTACCACTGTTCTGTGATTACTACTCAATCGTCAAACGTGTAAAAACATAAATAGTCCCTTGTACTTAACTGACGTTTACAATAAAACTTAAAACATAGTGCTCATGGTGGTCGTTTCGAGAAAAAAAAAAGGGAACAACTGCAATGTATCTCTAATCCCGTTTAATATTTTTTGCTTAAAAGAGCGTTTGTTACAAAGCTAGTGGTTTCTTATTTTTCTGTACCTATTTAACAGTACATTGATAACAAACCAAATGTTTGAGATCCTCTATACATGTAAAATTTCTTGAGATAAATCGCTTTTCAAGACCGGTCGTTCATGGCCAGGGTGGCTGTATGGGAATCAGAAAGCGAATATGCACAAATAAACACAATATAGTTCAAGAGCTTTAATTAAGTGGCAATTAAGGAGGTGAAAGTTTACTATACATGTGTTTGTGAACGCGAACGCAATCGAGCTTGTTTCAATATATATATGTAACCTCAGCGTGCATATGCGTCAACTGGTAAACTGGTATACGTATCCTCGCTGTACGCGCAAGTGGAATTCCTTCCTGCAGTCTTTTTTACGTCGAATAATAATCAACCAACAGTACTCGCGTATTATCGTTTATCGTGTGTGTGTGTGTGTGTGTGTGTGTGTGTGTGTGTGTGTGTGTGTGTGTG